GCGATGTAAACAAACTGAAGATAGGACTCTGAAAACTCTGAAAGCATCACAGACAGCGGGACTCGGGTGTTACACCCATTGTAGACAGTCATGACTCACAGAGTTATTTTCAGAGGATATACTTGATTTCTGCTACATTGAAGTGTGAAAAATCACATAGAAATCCTTTAATGAAATCGTAAACATTGTAAAAGGAGGATTTTATCGCCCTGGTTTTGCTACACACTATCAGCTTTTATAGCTCACAGTGCTAGCTAACATTGCTATTCCTGGTTTAGCGTGAACATCAAATTTGAAGGTTGATGCAAAGCAGCTGCTCACATGAAAGTTAACCTACGTCAGAATATCACTTGATCAGTGTGAGCGTATCATGACCTCACCCTGTGGAGATAAGCGTGTCAGTGTGCAGACTAAGGCTGACCTCAGGTCTGTGTCTCTCAGACAGAAGGCCACCTGCGCTACAGATAAGACCAGGCCTCGTTACAAGGATGTGATTCACATAAAGCACCAAGGCCTGCTGTCAAAAACGATGAGTAATATGAGACGATGAAAGCGTGTTTTTTTTTTAAATCTGAGAATGTGTGAAATAAATCAAATCACTTTTTTAGTGTGGTTTGGAAACAGATAAAACGCGACCTCAGGAGAAGGATCAGAAGGTTTAGTCTTGAAAGCCACACTGTGAGCATGGCATGCTCTGTTTCAAATGATCTAAAAGACTAGCTGTAAAAGCTGCAGCCTTGATTCTTGTTGCAGCTGAAAGCTCAGACTTCTGCCTTTCACCCTGAACTGTAATGCATGGTAAAAAAAAAACAACTGCAAAACAACAAAAAGAAGCTCTAATCTGTCCATTTGCATGATTATCCTCAAAATGAAACGAACCAAAAAACATCATAGCTGGAGTATAATATAAGAAACTTCAACAAATGACATCACCATAATCAAAAATATCAAAAAAACAAACTGTATTTCCAGTGCGGATGTAACAATCAAAACATAATTCAACTCCTTTAAGAAAAAGCGTTTGGATAGGTTTTTGTTTAATTTGTAAAATGTTCATAATCCAATCAAACACAAGTTGATTTCAAAACTGAAAACGGCGATTATTTAGTGACTAACATGACCTGAGTTAACGTCGAGATATAACATCACAGTAAGCGTAATGATCTTTGTATGCATTGACTGACTGATTTCTATGGCAGAGCTCAAAGACATGATGTCATCCCTTATGTTTAAATTTCAATCTAGAATCGGATTAAGTCCTGATGAGAAACCTCTCTACTTTAAAAGATTAAACTGTTGGCTTAAACGTCTCTTTCTGTTCTCTGGCGATAACGTAAACTTAGTCGTCAGTCGAACATCATCGTAAACACCTTCAAAAGAATGCATGAAACGTTCTGTAACTTTGTTAAGTTGGTGTCGTTTCTGCTCTTTTTAATGTACCACATGTCAGAGCTGGCCTGCAGAATGAAAGCTTTGTTTAATCTGTATCATAACAGTGTGTGTGTGCTGCATATATGTGATGACATGATGTACCTGAACGGGCCCAAAGCAGCATGTAAGACTTTATTTATTCAGACCCTTCCAAAGAGCTTCACAGAAACAAAAGAATTATCTGAAGTGACTCAGAAAGCTTTGTAAAGTTTAGGTTTTAGTTGTAAGAGTAAAAAAGGAGAAAGAGGATTTCCATATGTGGGTGAGAGGAGAGGGAGATGTGAAAACAAAGACCCTGCCTGAGGTTAAAGGGACAAGAGGGACAATGACTAGAAGGTACTTATTGAAGTTTTGGGATTATTTGGCACCTTCACAAACCACAGTCCTGTCAAATCTGAACATACACAACTTTTTTTTCTATCCATTATTTTTTCCTGCTTTTCCCGCTCCGGGTCACGGGGGCCTGGAGCCGATCTCAGCTGTCACTGGGTGAGAGGTGGGGTTACACCCTGGACTGTACGCCAGTCAGTCACAGACATATAGAGACAAACAACCAGAGAAACTCACATTCACACCTACAGGCTATTTAGAGTCATTTAACCTGAGGAAGCCAAAGTACCCTGAGAGAACCTACACATGCACAGTGAGAACATACAAACTCCACACAGAGGGGCTCCAGGGATTTGAACCTGGAACATCTTTGCTGTGAGGCAACAGCGCTAACCACTGCACTGTGCAGCCCACACATTTTTCAGGAAGATTTATTTGAGGCGTTTTACCTTTATTAGATAGGACAGTGACATCAGGAGAGAGAGAGCGGGGAACGCCATACGGGAAAGGAGTCAGACTTGAACCCTGACCACACGCTTGAGGACTAAAGCCTCCGTAAAGGGGGTGCGACCTAACCACTAGGCCATCTGGGCACCTAAATCTGAACATAGAGTTGACAGATCTGAATCTGCCTGAAGAATCAATTCTTCAGGCTTTGTCAAGTCAACATCACAAAGTAAGACGAGCAATATTAAGACACAGACACACTCAGGATGGAGAGTCGACCTGCTCTTTAATCGGACCAATCAGAGGCAGAGCTGGACAACCGTGTCTGATATTCCCGATAGGCAGACAAAACATGCCTCCATAGAAAGTGGAAAAGAAAATTAGAAATAATTAGGAACAAACACATCTACAGCTGAGCTAAATATACATCGTGAGTCACACTAATATTTAAAAAAGTTCATATAACCTACAATATATTGCTATATATAATTTACTGTAAACTACTTTTTTTTAGCTCTTAGCTCCAAAACGTGGGCCGTCATTCTCCCCCAAACAGAAGAAAGATAAATTGCCACTGAGTTTGTCAACAGTGTGAAACTTGCCAAACCACAGGATGAAGCGGTGTGTATCCTGAATCTTCTTTAATATTTCCCCTCCTTCCTGTATATCCACAAGGATTCTGTCACCATGTTTGTGTAAAGATGTTGTCCTTTGACAGCTTCAGCCAACACACACTCCATCACCTTCCACCTCCGCCGTCTGAACCCGTTCCCGGCAGTGATCACCTCGCAGTTTCCTGTTTTCTGTCGTCCTTCCTTCCTGTTCTGTTTCACATCTGGCTCTGACGCTTCTTTAAGTCAAACAGAGTTATGAGTTATGAGACGGGTTTTTTTGGGGGGCTTTCCGTCCCATTATTGTTTAAACTTAACTCAACTTTATTTATGAAGTACCTTTCAAACGTACAAGCACGCATCCTGGAGTGGATGCGTACCATCCTGGTACTCTCAGGGTGGAGAACATGAGATGATTACTTTGTGCCTGTCTGATTATGGTTTGTTCTAATGTACCTGTACTGTCCTCTACCTGTGCAGCTGGCAGTAAAATCTGTTCTAATCTCATCTCAGGCTGTCAGATTAAAAGCCCTTTGCGGATCACTAATAAACTCTATCGCAAGTTTCATTTAAATAATAAAAAGACCAAAGTTAGTCATGTGCAGCAAACATTTTTAAGACAATTTGCTCAGTCTGTAGGGACTTGTGCTGGGAACTCGAGGGTCGCCGGTTCAAGTCCCAGTGCGGACCAAAGATGCAGTGCACCACCTGAGTATTGCCGAGGTGCCCTTGAGCAAGAGCTCGAATCCCCAACCGCTCAGTGTGTAGCAGCCCCACTCTGACTTCTCTCCACTAATGCATGTCCACAGGTCCTGTTTATGCATTTTTTTTAAATAACAGAGTGTAAAGCAGAATCTTTCCTCAGGGACTAATAAAGTATTTCAAAATCAAAGAAGTCAAAAAGAGATTTTGCAAAGCTTTTCAAAGTGATTTTATCCCTCCTGGATTTCTGATCTTTCCAACTTTATTCAACTTTCACTACAGACCATGAATACACATTTTTAAACTGATTCCAGACTACGACTGATTTCTCCTTTATCTTGTAAGTCTGATTAATGCTGCTCTTTTTTTTTAAAATTGCTCAAATTGAGCCTATTTCTTCAAGTGTGGCCATTTGAGACCACATGTGGTTTGAAGTGTGTCCACCTGTAAGCCTGATAATCGCTGACAAATAAGACTGCTGTGTTTTCTGAGTCAGCGTCTCCTGTCCACCTCACTGCTTTAGTCACACAGCTGTTTCTGGAATGAGTCTGTGCGTCCCTCATAGTCCAGCAGAATTAAGACAAATCCCAGACGCTCCTGTCTTCTTATCCCTCCTCTCTGTTGTTGTGGATACCACTCAGATATGTTTTACAGAAACCGCTCCTCTGCCGGTTATGAGTGTGTGTTTGTGAACATTAGAAAACCACACATTCCTAGATAAATCATCCAATTAGAAAAAATGACTCACAGACACATAACTCACTCATAACACCGCATGGTTAATATCCAAACATGACACGTATGCTGCCCAGCTGATTCATTGTGTGGTGTAAGCATGTGTGTGCATGCATCTGCTGAAAGGATGCACATGTAGCTGAGTTGCTTATTCACTCTGGAGTGACGCAGGGACAGGAGGGTGGGGGTTATAAGCCTACACACAAACACACACACATATATAGAGCTCAGATTGGGATGCTCCTGCAGGAGGATTACGAGAGTGAACCTGTGAGTTCAATCTGCGCCTGCCTGCTAATACCTGCTAAACATGTTTGCAGCGGCCGGCTCCACTCTCTTCTGCTAATACCGCGTGTAAATACACGAGTCATCAGCATAGAGAGAAACAATGCATTTGTTGTTTTAGGAGGCTGTCACTGTTTTTACTCCAAACTTTTAAAAGGAAGTTCTTGTTTTAGTGCTGGATCTGGTTCTTGAAATAGAGAGACAAGTTGTGACTATAAATTAGCAACATGCCAATATGCTTCTGGACATCAACGGTAAAATGGTGAGACGCGCTTCATGTGTTTTTTTTATGTGATTTTTGTTTGATTTTCATGTGTTTGTGACAGTTGTTTAAATGTAGTCTCATGTCTTTGCAGGTTTCCTCTACAGAAGAATGTGTTGGACCAATGAGGCTGACTCAGGAGCCGATTCAGGTAAGAACAGAGATGACTGTGGGAAATCTTTCATCCTGTGTTTTAGGGACTTTGCATGAAATACATCCTCTATTTCTTTTTATACAATCAGTTGGATTCTGTTTGGTTATGCTAAGTTTTAACCTGTATTTTATGAATGTTGGTTTTGCAACTACAATCATTTTCATTGTGAGAATAGTTGGTGTAATTTATCAATGCATATTTTAATCTAGTGTCAAAAATAAGGCCCATTGCAACGTTGCAAAGTCTTAAGTTGCAAGGTCTGATCAGATCCATCTTATTTTTTGCCTGAAAAAGTGACTATTGTCCCTCTAATTGTTCAACCAATTGTTCAGGCTCTATTCCTGATAATATTTTCCGTCAGGTCCTGAGTGTTTGAGGGTTATCTATATTTTCAAGGTTCTCTTTGTCCGTGTTATTCAATGCATTTTTTTAAAGGTTTATTTTTGGGGCCTTTTATGACTTAATCTAGTGTTGTAGTACTCGAAAATCGGTCTATGTCTCAAGACTTGGTCTCGAGACCACTTGTTGAATGTCTGTGTCTCTTCTCAGAATCAAAAGCATTTTTTCTGGGTCTTGTCTCAGGCCGTGCAGACTCTGGATTTTAAATCAAGTCCAGCCATGACCACCCCTGAAAGGCTATTTTGTAACATCATTACTGTGATTAGAAGGAAAAATCCCTCTTTAAAAGAACAGATAACTTCAGTTCATTCATAATTAAATTTTTATACCCAAAGGCCGCAACCTTCCTGGTGTTACGGTCTAAGTGAGTGATAATTTTTCAGTGATATTTATGGTCTTGTCTCAGTCTTGGCCTTGCTCTGCTTTGGTCTTGGTCTTGGCTCCATCTCGTAGCACTCGGGCATTCGGGTATGTCTTGGTCTCAGTTCATGCAGTCTTGACTACAACACTACCTTAATCTAGGGAAAGGACTTTGGATACAGTCAGATATCGGGGGGGGGAGAGAGAGTTGGGAGTGACATGCGGGAAGGGCATGTCACAGGCATCCTGATTGGAGGACCAGCCTCTGGGGGCGCGCACACTAACCACTAGGCTACTGGCGCACTGTTATTCAAATCAAAACAATTCACTAATTTGCCATCTTTTAAATCTATTTATATTTTTGGCCTGATATGTAATTTTAATAATCTGTTTTGCTATATTTGGGTCATGTTGTTATAGTCTGCAAATATAATCTCTACTGGAACAAGCAGCCTAAATCACAGAAACACATGACATGACAACGTTACTCTTCACATTATGAAATCATCCTTTTAAGAATATTTCTCAAAGCTTGTTCTGTGTTGTTTTTAAAATAATACAAACGCAGAAAAGATTTGAATTCTCTCTCTCTCTTCTCTGAGCCAAAAAAACATGAATCATCCTGAAAGCATAAATTACACTCTACGACCTACTTCCTGATCCGAGCACACTTTCATTATTGTCATTATTATTATTCAAGGCTTTGGGAGAACATTAAATTCATGTGAAATGTTTTCGTCAGACACCTTGTTTGTGTCTCTGAAGTGTCAGACGTGCTGAAGTCTGGTCTTGCTGGTCAGGACCTTGTGAGTAATACTGGAGGATGAGGCAGGGTTGAGTCAGGGATTGAGTGCGCTCATCCTCTGGTGAGGGGATTAGGACATGTGCGCCTCAGATTTATCCTTATGCAACAAAGAAACAGAGAGTTCCTGGAGGTTATCAGCTGGCTGAGTCACAGGTAAACCTCGCTGCATTCCTCTGTCCTGCAAGTTTTTACCTCAGAAGTGATCTCATTATGAGATGCATTTCATTAAATGACTTTTAAAATATTGACAGTTTTCTCACAGAGGCCTTTTTCTTTTGAAATCACATTCGGAGTGGGAAAGCTCATCATCTGTAGATAACTATAAATATGAACAAGGGAATCTGAATAAAAAAAAGTCACAATTAAGTGCTCAGTGATTGAATAACAGTTGACAAGACAACAATCTGTGAAAAATCATGAGGGAAATCTGGCCATATTTCAAGTTAATAACAATATATTTTAACCCATTTTCCACATCATTACTGTGATTAGAACCTAAACCGCTCTTTCTAAAAGAACACATAACTTATTCATAACTTGAAACACAAGATGATGTTTTTTTTCCTTGGTCATCTTGGTCTTGTCTCGATCCCTGAATGTCTTGGTCTTGTCTCGATCCCTAAATGTCTTGGTCTTGTCTCGATCCCTAAATGTCTTGGTCTTGGTTTTGGTCTTGTCTTGGTCTCGATCCTTAAATGTCTTGGTCTTGTCTTGGTCTTGATCCCTAACTGTCTTGGTCTTTGCTCGGTCTCGATCCCAAAATGTCTTGGTCTTGTGTCAATCCCTAATTGTCTTGATCTTGTCTCGGTCTCGATCCCTAAATGTCTTGGTCTTGTCTCGATCCCTATATGTCTTGGTCTTGGTCTTGGTCTTGGTCTTGTCTTGGTCTCGATCCCTAAATGTCTTGGTCTTGTCTCAGTCTCGATCCCTAATTGTCTTGGTCTTGTCTTGGTCTCGATCCCTAACTGTCTTGGTCATGACTCGGTCTCGATCCCTAATTGTCTTGGTCTTGTCTTGGTCTCGATCCCTAACTGTCTTGGTCATGACTCGGTCTCGATCCCTAAATGTCTTGGTCTTGTCTTGGTCTCGATCCCTAAATGTCTTGGTTTTGTCTCGGTCTCGATCCCTTAATGTCTTGGTCTTGACTCGGTCTTGATCCCTTAATGTCTTGGTCTTGACTCAGTCTCGATCCCTAAATGTTTCGGTCTTGTCTTGGTCTCGATCCCTAAATGTCTTGGTTTTGTCTCGGTCTCGATCCCTTAATGTCTTGGTCTTGACTCGGTCTTGATCCCTTAATGTCTTGGTCTTGACTCAGTCTCGATCCCTAAATGTTTCGGTCTTGTCTTGGTCTCGATCCCTAAATGTCTTGGTTTTGTCTCGGTCTCGATCCCTTAATGTCTTGGTCTTGACTCGGTCTTGATCCCTTAATGTCTTGGTCTTGACTCAGTCTCGATCCCTAAATGTTTCGGTCTTGTCTTGGTCTCGATCCCTAAATGTCTTGGTCTTGACTCAGTCTCGATCCCTAAATGTTTCGGTCTTGTCTTGGTCTCGATCCCTAAATGTCTTGGTTTTGTCTCGGTCTCGATCCCTTAATGTCTTGGTCTTGACTCGGTCTTGATCCCTTAATGTCTTGGTCTTGACTCGGTCTCGAAGCACTCTGGTCTTGGGTTTGTCTTGGTCTTCTCTCGGTTGGCCCCTGCCTTGGTCTTGGTCTTGACTTGGTCTCGATCCCTAAATGTCTTGGTCTTGTCTCGATCCCTAAATGTCTTGGTCTTGTCTCGATCCCTAAATGTCTTGGTCTTGTCTCGGTCTCGGAGTACTCTGGTCTCGGGTATGTCTTGGTCTTGTTGGTGTTGTCTTGACTACAACACTTCTAGAAACAAAGAACCAGTCACCACACTTCTGAGATGATGTACATTTAGCCAGCTACAACAAATGGAAAACACACTTCCTAGCTAATGTGGTTTTAGCTTCATTTTCAGCCGTGCTGGTTTGACTTATGTCCAAGTGTTCTGCTCAAGCACGGTGACGTTAGAGGCCCGGCATGCTACTTATGTTCAAGTTACAGTATCCTTATGCAGCATGCCAAATAACATCACTCCAGGAATCTGATGCAGCATGCAGGCAGGTGGAGAGAGAGCACATTTTTGATTAAAAAGCTTTCTAAGAGCTTGTCTCATGCCTAATAAAACCCTTGAACTACCCGCACAGAGAACAGCCCAGAAAAGCTGCACCTTCAGCTCTCTGCTGGATCCGCTGCCAAACCCACCGCTCTCCTGTTCCTCGACTTTTTCTGGAGCGGGAAGATGAAAAGAGGGAGATAAAATGCTCTGCAGGAGAAAGTTATGAGTTCCCCTTGACATTAACTGTTACTGCCTCTCAGTCCTGCGGTGTTTCAACCTCTGCAGAAAACTGTACGTCCTCGCTCATTAATGAAGCATATCATTCACTCATTACGGGGATAATAAGGTTAGAAGGTTAAGTAGCACACATGCTTTTTCTTAAAATATTTCTCCTCTGTGTAACTGCAGTTTTATTAACACTTTTTTTCATACACGCTTAAAAGTTTGAGTACTCACTTTTTCTTGCAGGATGCATGCCATATGAAGAGATTCAACAGGCTGACAGTACTTAGAAAAGTTGATATAAATAGACATTTATGGGTCAGTTGATTTGTAGGGTCACAGATAATTCATTGGCAAAAGACTGAGCTGTCTAGTAGTTGAAGTAGCTTTTCATGCAATCAAAAATGCCACAAATACACCGGTTCAGTTTGTGAACTTGTCTCCTCCAAGATGCACAAACACGACAAATCTTTGGCTTTTCTGCTTCAAAATGACTTAAACCAATTATCATGACCAAAACAACTGAATATTTTCTGCACACATAAAAGTTGTACAATGCATTCCTTTAAAAAAAAAGATTTTTTTTTACTCGTATTTTATAACGTTCAGTGAAACAGAAATTAAGGAAGAAGAAACAGTAAAAAACTGGTGAATTTTGCAAATACTTAAAGGCATTTACAACAAAATTCTTGCACATAAACATTTTACTGACAGATGGATCTGATCAAAAATTGGATGGTGAAAAATGTGCAAGTTGGTTTTGTGTTTAAATACAAAAACAAAACCAGCCCCACAAATGTGTCCTCATACACACACTCAATGAATTGAATCAGTCAGTCTTTACTTGTATAGCGCCAATTCATAACAAATAGAATCTCAAAACCCTGAGTCTAGACCGTACTCTCTGCTGTATTATTTACAGAGACCTAACATTTATCCACCATGAGCACAGCACTGAGCAACATTTAGCAAAGATACAGTGGCGAGGGAAAAACCTCCTTTTTACCAGGCAGAACCCTCGAGCGTCTGCCTGCTGAGACGGCTTTAGTCTTAAGGAAAGAGATGGAATGAGACAAACCAACAGAGAAACAACAACAACCATTAAAACAGATGTATGGCTACAACGCCAGTAATAATGGTTGAGTGTTGAGTATGAGTGTTATTAGAAGGAACAGCAAAGTATGATAATCCTCTGATGTGTCTAATTAACAAGTACATTAACAAGTACAAGTACAATGGCCAGGAAATGGTAAGGACTGATAGTGTATCAGTCCTCAGTATTATAGTATAATAATGTTAGTAGATGATGACAGATTGATATTATTAGTTGCAGTTGGAGTCAGGCCGGTCCACAGCAGCAGGCAGTCTGCAGGAAATGTTACACCCCAAAACAAAACCAGTGCTTAAAGCTGGTTAGCCCCTCTCTCTCTCTCTCTCTCTCTCTCTCTGTGTTTGGGAACCTCTCAGCGTCTGATGGCGTCTGTCCTGACTGTGCAAACACGGCAGATTAACCTCTGAACTCCTCTGAAATGTGAGCCAACAGGCAGGCAACAGTCACAAATAAGTCACTTACACACTGCAGTGCTTTCAAAGGGTTGTCACAATACAAGAATATAAATCCATATCACTGTATACATAATATACATCTGTACGTCACAATGATATTGATACCTGTGTAGATGTGACGGCAACTAAGATAGAGGTCCTTTAGGCACCCGGTATTGGGTCAATTCTCAAAAGCACAGGAATACTCATACTGCATACTAAAATCTCTCTCGCTGTAGTTGCTAAAGCTTTTAGTTGAAACTATTGCTGAAGTTTCTAAGTTTTTTCTTCATGTTTCTGTACTTTTTGACGCTACCAATCATTAAAAAAAAACAGACATTGTGTTGTTTGTGTCAAAAGGTGTTGAACTTATGACAACCTTTTGCTAAATTCACAAATATAAGAATTCAAATCGTGAAGTCTATTTACTTTGAAGATGCTATAGCAGGTTCATTGTGTTAACCGAGATTTATATGTGTTTCATTAAAAGTGAGTAACGGTTGAGGCAGTGTGTGTTTAAGACAGATGTGATGTTGGTGTGATGGATTGCAGACTTCTTTTTCAGATGTTTGACTGTGCAGATATTTCATGTTTTGTTCTTTTAATGATTTATTTTTGGCCTTTTTACACCTTTATTTTAAAGACAGGACAGTGGATAGATTCATACACAGAGGAGAGAGAGAGAGTGGGGAGGACATGTGGGAAAGGAGCCACATGTCGGATTAGATCCCGGGCTGCTTGCTCTCGAGGACTTAAGCCTCTGTACATGGGTAGAGCGCTCTAACCTCTAGGGCGATCTGCGCCTCCTTTTTTCATGGGTTCTTAAGACCAACAGCGCCGCCTTACAGGCTCATCCTTGGTGACATGTTTAGGGCGGCAGGTAAGAGATGTGTGCGGTTTTGCAGCGTCGTCATCTGGGTGCTGTGTGTGTGGAATTTCACATGTCAGCACCATGGTTACACAAAGCTGCACTGGATCAAAGAGTGTGGACCTTTCACAGACACCCACCAATGCTCCGTCACTTTCTGTTCCCACCTGGTCTTTTCCACTCTGCATTTTTCTGTACAGCTACACCAGAAAATAAAGATAACGTACGATAATGTATGCTCCTGATTTTAAAAAGCATACAGGAAGCATTTTAAGCCCTCATAATTGACTGTTTATTGTCATGAACATTTGCTTTTGTCTCATTCCGTTGAAGCTAAAAAAAAAAAACGAGACGAGCGCTGACATACTGCTCTGGTGACATTTTTCAGAGCCAAGACATGAACATGAAGGGATCTGGCTGGTGCACCCACAGAATTGACACCAGAGGCCAGTTCTCCAACCAAAGCACCAGTTAATATACTCATAAAAACATCAAAGATCCCTCAGGTCGGTTTACAGTCTTCAGCAGAACAGATTCTTGTCAGATTTTTGTTTTTTTTTAAGATTTATTTCTGGGCTTTTTGTGCCTTTAGTAGAGAGATGGTACAGTGGATAGAGTCGAAAAATCAGGGAGAGAGAGAGTGGTGAATGACATGCGGGAAAGGAGCCACAGGCCGGACTCGAACCCAGGCCGCCCGCTCAGAAGACCACAGCCTCCACACATGGGCGCGTGCACCAATCACTGCGCCTCAATTCTTGTGTCAGTTTGAAGCAGAGACTCTCGTTTGTGGAAATTTCAACGACCGTATTGTTGTTGGTTTTTTCTTTTTCTCTCGCTTGTCCTCCTCTAGTCTGCTAATCGGGTTGAGAGCGCTTTAAGGAGTCAACAGAGCTGCCAATCCCGACGTTACAGCCGCTCTTTTTTTTTCATCAAATACCTAATTAAAACAACAACACTTGGAAAAATGAGCACTTGGACATAGATCAGCAATAGGGATGTAACGATTCACTCAACTCCCGATACGATTCTCTAAACATTTATTTTACAAAATGAAAGACAAATTATGACTGGGAAAGATTCCTTTAGGGGCTGATTAAATGCTGCATCATGTTGGTCGGGCTGTTTGTGTAGTTCCCCGTCTTCTTGCAATATTTGGACACAGTTTTTGTCTCGTCTGTTTTCTTCTCACCTCTTTCATTTTCTGTCTCGGGTAAAGCCAAAATGCTTCCACACCTCCGATTTTAAAAGACGGTGGTGCATCCTCAATTTCTAAATCTTTGCTCTGCAGCTGCTGACGCTCACCGTATTATTGAGATTCATATTTCAGAGTACCGATGTGAATCTTTACATCCCTCATCAGCGTGATAACTATCACAACAGATTCCGGGTTTGACAAACAGTTATTGGAAGTGTATTTGAACTTTTATAGTTTGCCCCAGGCGGGGCTTATCAGCTATACTGCAGCAAGCCAGCAGGGGGAGCTATAAATATGTTGGCTTCACTCTCAGACAGCTGTTTCTCCGTCACCCTAATACACAATCGGTCCTCACTCAGTTTTTCTCCCCCCCCCCCCCCAGCCTCTCGATCCTTTGTTGTCTTTGCTCGGAGTCAGGAGGTGAAGCTGAGAGCTGAGTGTTGTTACTTCTGGCTGCAGACCAGCTGCTCTTTTGTCTCATCTCTTCTCTATGTGTATCTTTTACAGTGTTGTGTTTTCAGTGCTGTACTCAAAGGTTAGCGGTGTGTTCAGGGTCAGAACGCAGTGTGGGATCAAAAACACGAGTCCGCTGGTGTGAATTAGCTGTCATCAGTGATTAGGCAGGCGTATATACAAGTATGCAAAGACAGGAGCCCTGCATACTCAGGTTGGGAGACCGTAACGGGAGGGGAAGTCAGATGCATGAACACACTTTAAATTAGGGACAGATCGTAGTGGTCGAAGCCCCTGAGCTGTTTTTGTCAAGTCAATGCTGTGGGAGGTAATCCACAGAGGAACTACCCAAAGAAAAGGAGAAGGGCAAATCCTCCCTGAGGCGTTTGGTGTCTTTTTCTAAATTTAGAAAAGTTAAAATAAACCTTGTGAGGTTCCAGTTAAAAACTTATATAAGAGATTAAACTCAATAAAAGCTTGTGTTGTCTAGTCTAGAATCACATCAGGCCTTGTTTGCGTTACCAGTAATTTAACTAAAAGGGGTGGGAGTATTTATCCATTTTCAACAGTGTTATTTTTATTACTCTGAATGTATTTTTGATTGATAGCTTTAGTTACGCCCTTTTAAATGGATTTACTGATATTCCATCAGGGAGGTCATGATGTCTGCATGCCCTCTTCCGTCTTGTAATGTGTTCTTAATTTGTGGATATTTTTCCATCTTTTTTTCTCTGTTCTCTGTGTTTCTCTTGTGGACATTTTGTGCTCGACTTTTTACACACTGATGTTGAACGGAAGAAACTTTTAACCGGAAAAAGATGCAAAATGTTTTTATTTTGTGTGATTATGCAGTGACAGAGGTTGAAAGAATTAAGGATTTTTTAATTTTTTATCAGTAAATATTTCTATCAATCAAAACACTTAAAGAAATGAATGAAGAAAAATAAAGACACTACAGGTTTAGATTCATAATACAGCTCTGCCTCACTCGGTCGTTGTTCCCTCTCTTCAGGTCCTGCTGGTTTTCGCCAAAGAGGACAGTCAGAGCGACGCCTTCTGGTGGGCCTGCGACCGCGCTGGATTCAGGTGCAACATCGCACGGACGCCCGAGTCCGCTGTGGAGTGTTTCCTGGACAAACACCACGAGATTATCGTCATCGATGGACGCCACTCGCGCTACTTTGAGCCTGAAGCTGTGTGCAGGTGAGCCTTACCTGTGTGACTGCTCTCACTGCGTCAGTGTGACTGTTTCTTATTTCTTCTTTGACCGACTAAATGGACAAAAAAGATTCCTTAAAGAGATTGTTGCAAAGTTGGGAAAATATGATATTTTTTCTCTGACGTTTATGAGACAAATGTCACGCTTATGTATCTTGAAATTAAAGGAAGAATGTGCAACATTTTACATATAAATACAGCAGAAACTGAGTACAAGTAAATATCTCTCTGCGTCATGATTTTCTACAATTATTAAGAAGCTTGAGTCTCGCTGGCTGTGTTGTTGTCAGAGCCGGGTTTACATCCCCTTGGTTTTAAAAGCTGTTTTAGTCAAGGACCAGATAAATAAGAATAACATGCTCACTGATTATTTGGGTGTCACGTTAGCATTTTTAGATCACGGCCATTCTGTGTCAGCAATGTGAAGCTGCGAGATAACTAAAAAGCTAACATTAGCATGCTAACACAACAATGCAGGTCACAGGCGATTGCAGCTCGAGCAATTTCGACCGCCGCTTGTGCTCGATTCCTTCGTGCGAACGCGAGGGGAGGGGGTTGGAGGTGTGTCGCTGGAGGAGAGCTGAGGCATCAGCCAAACAGCAGTTTGTTTTGGTTCCTACCTTTAAGTTTAGTTTGGGGGAAACTGCTGGAGCACTGGTTGGCGCCCTCTGATGTTCAGTGGAAGAACACTTGAAATGTACAACCTGATTTTTAACACTATAACCTACTTCAGGTTTTTGGTTTTCTAACAAAAAGAAGAAAAAAATATATTAAGCGACATTTAAGTGAGCCTAAAACATAAATTGTCACTTTGTTTCTTTATTATTTATGTATTTATTGTCTCTCTTTCCCATTCTCCACTGCAAAAGGCTCTGGCCACTTCAGGAAACCTCTTTGACTCTTGAAACACATTTTCTTGATTTCACACTGGTGACACTGGGATTCTAGTTTTGTCTTAATTTCAGGTGTTTGAAGACTTAACAGGAACCACTGTCTTCAACTCAGAACACATGTGTACATCCTTCACTGTGTTCCCTTTTTCTTGTGTGGCTTTGTGGCTGAACCTCTGCAGCAGATGTGTGTGTGTTTGGCGTCTCTGTGTAAAGTGCTGAAACGTTCCCGCCCTTCTTCTGTGGCCATGACTTTAATCTCCAACCTGCCCACATGTTTATCCAGCACCTGAGTCCAAACCGCTTCTCATGGGGGGTCAAAGTGTGAATGAAATGAACTCCTGCTGACTTTTTAATCCACTTGTTTTTATTTCCAGGTTGATCAGAGCCACAAAGCCTTCTGAGAACACCGTTATTCTCGCTATTGTGCCACAAAAGTAAGTTTGATTTGACTTGTTATTTGTTCTCCTCTGTTTTCTAGTTTTATATGTGACTTCAAATCGAATGTCTGTACCAGTCACAAGGATGTGACTTGGTTTGTGGACTGTGACGACTCTTTTCTCTTATTTTAAAGAGTGGCAGACCAGGACGAGCCGTCTGTTCTTCCTCTCCTCTGTGCTGGATTCAGCAGGGTACGTACAACCTGTGGCTGTGTTTCAAAAACAGAGTGAACGTGTCATCATTGTCTCTGAAAGAGGCTTTTATTGAGGCCTCTAAGTGACTGCAGACGCTCAAATAGCAGCACGTTAACTCTTCTGAAAGAGGCTCCGATTATCGGCGGTGTTTGAAGGTGTGAAAATGACGTCAGAGTTTACAGAGCAAGCGGCTGCTGAGTACATTCTGACTCATTTCTCTCTCTCTCTCTCTCTCTCTCTCTTGTCACTTGACCTCGTTCCGCCTGCAGAGGTTTGTGGAGAACAGCAGTGTGTCGGCCTGCTACAATGAGCTCATTCAGATTGAGCACGGGGAGGTGCGCTGTCAGTTCAAACTGAGGTAAAGTCAAAGATACCCACGTTAATAAAATCACACATTACAGACAGTGAAGTGCATGGACTGACATTTATAAACCCGTCTGCAGGGCCTGTAACTCTGTGTTCACCGCTCTGGAGAACTGTCAAGAGGCTGTGGAGATCACCAGCGAGGACCACATAATACAGGTAGAGATAACCCACACACACACACACACACACACACACACACACAGAGTCACACACACAGACATGCAGATGCATTAGACTAAAGCCAGATTCAGAAAACTCCTTAGCCCGTCTGTGGCTCCCCTAAAGATGTAAATCTGAAGAACCTGGTTAAGTAAGTATTTGGATGTATTCATATTTTTTTCAATTTCAACAGAACTGCAGTTTTAAGGGGATCTAAAATAGTAAAAAGGTTGTTTGTTGGTGACACATTCAGCTGCAAAAATGTGATTTTCAAAGGAGTATGTAGCCCAGTTTACACATGCACTCGTGAAAATGTGCAGAACATATCAGCACAGCCTGTCCCTGAAGTCTTCCTGAGCTTCTCTTCAACACATGTCCCTCACAGCTGGGAGTTTTCCCTGGGGGACAGGGGGGGCGTCTCGGGAGACACAGACATAATTTCAAATGCAGAAAAAATACGAAGGGGTCTGGCAGAAGAAACTCCGGGTAAAGTCAGAGTGAAAGATGTAGCTGTTTGCGTTCACAACGTGCTTTAAATGCACGATCATGAGTCGTCTATCTGAAAGCTAAACACTGGCACAACACTGACCTGCTGTCATATTCCTGAGTCCATGTGACAGACCGTCTGAGCGTCCAGTCTCTACTGTATATTTGAATGAATGCAGCTGACATCGTCTGTAAAAAGGAATGCTTTTCAGAGCAAAAACGTGCAAAAAAACCAAAACACTTATACAAAATCATCAGATAAACTGCGCAAAGCAACACAAATGAGTCCTTTTAGAAACGGTCTGATTGCTAGACTTAAACTTGAATATCTTCCTGTTTTTTTTTGTTTTTTTCGCAGTATGTAAATCCGGCGTTTGAGCGTATGATGGGCTACCACAAGGGGGAGCTGATGGGGAAGGAGCTGACTGAACTCCCCAAGAGCGACAAGAACAGAGCAGACCTGCTGGACACCATCAACACCTGCATCAAGAAAGGAAAGGTAAGAAGTGTAATCATTCACAGTTACCATCTGTGGAGTGAGAGAGTACTGCATCATGTCCTGAGTGTTTTTTTTTTTTTTTGCTTGTTTGTCTCTGAAGGAGTGGCAGGGTATTTACTTCGCTAGGAAGAAGGCAGGCGACAGCATCCAGCAGCATGTGAAGATAACACCCGTCGTCGGCCAAGGAGGGTGAGGTGTTTTTAAATCTACCAAAGAGGTCGATATCATTACCGAGATGTCCAAAGCGACTGACACACTCTCGTCTCTTATTACAGGAAGATTCGACATTTTGTAGCCATCAAGAGACCTCACATAGACAACAATAATCAGGTGAGTTAAATGATAATCTCATGTGTTACACAAGCCCTGATCTGTCTGCTGTTTTCACACAAGCGTCGTAACTAAGCTCAGCTGTTCATATTGATTCTGTGGCGACATTGTAGAAGCACGGCACAGCTTCACATACACACACAGTCAGACATGCACACACACACACACACACACACAGCGCTGTGCTCCCCCGCTGAGTCAGCTGAAAGTGTCTCACCTCTGTTAATACCTCCCCTCATTATGCTCATTAGGACATTCCCATTGAAAGCTAAACGTCACCGGGGCGTACAAATCACATCTTGTAGCAGCAGTCCGAGTAGGGCTGCAGATACCCGAGCGTCCTTACAAAAGTCTGAATGTTGTTCTTTTGTTGGGTTCAATCATCAGCACTCTAAAAAACCCTGAAGGCCTTTTTAGTAGTGCTTCTTGAAAGAGGTTACGTCACAGCCTTTTCCCTCCAGAGCGGCTGTCTGAATCGAATACACATTGATCAATACCACTTAGTGAAGGCTTCCACTAATGAAGTTTGACGCTCCAACGATTCTCTCCACACCAAAAAAAAATCCAAACCACCACCACGTCCCAAGTTTTTTTTTTTTTTTTGTGATCAAATATTTATTGTTTTGTTTCTTTCAATATGGGTAGGCAGGAGGTGATTACATGAGTTCCATTGAGCAGAACAAGTACCTACAAGATGAAAAAAAAACATAATAAAAATAAATACATTTTTAGATAAAAACAGTCAAAATAACAGCACCGTAAAAAGACAAAATAAAATGGATAAAAAAAAATGAAAATGAAATGAATAATAATAAAACAGACAGACTAAATCTCCCAGCCCCATTAGCACACAGCCCAGGGATCCCCTAACACATCTGAATATGAACAACACCATTAAAGCAAGCAAAGGTTACTAGGATCGTCCAAAGTTTGAACTGTTTACTTGGACAACTAAAAACACTGATAAAGAATTACCGTCCATTTCCAAAGAGCAAGATAAGTTTAAAAAAAAAAAAATATTAACAGAAATCTGTATGGCTCCTCTCTCTTGGTGTCTGAATGCAGCCCGATTCACCCAAACTCAGTTTGTGTTTGGAGAAACAATTACTGCTAAATAAAAAACCTTTAATGTATTTCTTGTAATATAACTGGTGAAGCTTATTGAGTTGTTGAAATTAAACAAATCTCAATCCTGGTTGGCCCGATAAAGCCTGGTGTAAATTAGGTTTTAGGTGAAGATGACAAACTCTGCTGGAGTTTAATTTATTGGTTTATTTTGACAGTGAGCATGCACAACACAACACAGCTGTTGGGTCAGAAATAGCCATAAAGCTCCTTCACTGTGATTTCACATAAAAACAACATATTACAAAACTATATTACGTTCTCTTATGATCTTTAAATCTTCAAAATGAACCTCAGGCCGAGGTGTCAGATTGAAACCGCCTTGCAGATTTTCCAGCTTTGTTGTTCAGCAGCGTGCACGCTTTGCTCCTGATGCAGGTGTGTGTCGCTGCTCTCAGCTGGGTTCTAGGCCAATAACGTCATACTATGCTAAGCTACGGCTAAACCCCCCAGGATCCCCCGCTAAGGCCTGCGAGGGCTAACAGCCAGACGCCAGATCTATTTATACTCGAACAAAGCTGCGCCGAGAGCGAGCTTTAGCTCACCGCTCGCTTTCATGGTGTGTGCACAGGGTGAGTCAGCCGCTGGCGTCTGCCTGCCAAAGCCTCATTCCTGCTCGTTTGGAGCGGGAAACCCTTCGACATGGAAGAGACTGATCCCATTCCCGAAAGTCATACCCCACAACCTGAGACGATGTGCGCTGTCAGACTAAACAGAATGATCAAAGTGTTCTCTTTTTCTAAAGCCTTTTTAGCACACATAACAGATGCAGTGTAGACATAAAGGTGGACTATTTGATGACCCTCGACCACACAGGGCTCTGCAGCATGACAAGGATCTGATATTGTGTTGAACATTTTCATCTGGGCATTTTAAAACACTCTTCCTCCCACTCAGACGTTTGGCTGTAGCACACAGTTTCCATCACATTGTGCTGTTTTGTAACGCAGCTTTTTGTCTAAGCAGGTTTACGGCCACTTGTCTTTTTCTCTTCAATGGAATCTCAAGCTTTAGTCAAGTTAATGCCAAAGATATTTTTAAAGACGTTTGTTTGAGTTCGCAGCCCCGCAAGGAAAAAGTAGTTGTAGCCAGGGTCAATCAGGCGCCCTTATTTGTCTACATGAGTGTTTATACTGCCTTAATCCTATTTACTGAGAATGGGACGCGCTGCAAAGACGAGAGACACATTTTAAAGGGGCAGCAGAGTGAGAAAGATGAAATGGGATCGACTTCCTCTCTTCCATATAAATAATTAAACATGCTGATTTTGTAACATGAGAAATCATCATTATAAGGTTTTTTTTTTTGATGAGCCTTCGTTGCTGCATAATCGTGCAGGCTGCACTGTCAGCAGCATGTGAAGGTGCAGTGAGTCACTGGGTGTAGAAAATCTTCTGTAACTGGATTAGAGGCTCCTCATATCTACAATAACCTCTGTGTGGCTAACAGGATGTACAGGACATTTGTCACATGCATGAAATATAGTATAATAAACACAAGAAAGTGTTATATAAGGTTCACAGTCACAGAAAAAACGAGAATTTTGCAATATATTAAACCTATTTAGTAATGTTCTAGTGAATCGTAACCAGAATTTTTAATTTTTTTTACATTTTTTATTGTTTTATTTTACAGGGACATTGCATATTAATAAACATTTCGGTAAATATGCCAGAGTTAGCCAAAAGGCTAATTTTCATCTGTTGTCCCTGGCCAGATTTTATTAAAGGCTCCCTAAAAAAACAAATTCAAACATCGCTAAAGGCTACAAATACAAATAACATGACAGTTTTTATCTCTGGATGTGTGCATGTCATCATTATTTTCTTTGATTTGAACAAAATATCAAAGGCACAGACCCTAATGATACTGGAGGATTTAGAAACTGTGTTGCATATGGACAGACAATTCAACACAATACAGTTTACAAACCAAAGCTGCTGTTTTTAAGCGTATTTGTCTATTTGACTTACTTAGACTTAGACTTAGACTTTCTTTATTGTCATTCAAACTTGTACTTTACAGTGCAGATAAGAACGAAATTTCGCTGCATTTGGCCCGTTGTAGTGCAGGATAAAAACAGCAGCATGTATTTACATATAAAAAATAAAAATAAGGTGCAGATATAAATAGATATAAAAAGAAAAACTATGAGTAAAAATACTATACAGATAAATATATTGCACGTTATATTGTGTTTTACAGTCCAGTGAGGTAGTCCTGTGTGGGGGTTTGAGGGGGAATGGAGGGATTATTTTTTCCTGTTCAAAAGTCTTATGGCCTGTGGGAAGAAGCTGTTACGGAGGCCGAGAATGCTTTTAATAATTTATGAATCCTGTTAGGGGGAACTCACCATCCGATACAATATGATCCGATTTGAAACGCGAGTATGATACGTTATGCGATATGCGATACCGCCCTAAGACCAGTTACCCAATCACGGTGGTCTTGACCATCCGGAGTCCGCCCAGTTGAGAATGAGACGAGACCGAGAAAAATGCTTTGGATTCAAGACCGAGACCCTCAAGACCGTTCTGAAAACAAGACTGATTTCCAGATGACAACACGAGTGTGAAGGGAATCGCGATGTTTGTGTCCCTATCGGTGAAGATGTTATTCAGTGACTCTGTTATTCTTAACCTTCAGTTAACTCAGTCTTCTTCTCTCTGTCTGTCAGCTTCACAAGTTCAACAAGGAGAGAGATGCAGCGGGAGCATTCTCAGTCAGTAACAAAAAAAACACCACATACTGTAAAGTACATCAATGCAGGGCGATTCACACTTCTCCCATGTACTGAGGGAGCAGGGAGAAGGATAAATCTTGTTTTGCCTGCCCCCCTACTCAAAAAGCAAACAATAAATGTCTGGATGGTTCTGTCCAAATACAACCAATGAATGAATATCATGCTAGCATAAAACAAATCCGACAATTCAGTCTTCACTTCCTCAGAAATAAGAAGGAAAACACACACAAAACACACAAACTGCAACTTTCATACAGTCTGATAACTTTGTTCTTATACATTTTCTTAAACTGAAATATCTGAACACAACCCCTTTAAATCATTATTTAAAATCAATTGGAGGGCCCTCTCTCCTAAAGACGGTTAAAACGGATAATTATCAGTTTTCTTTGTTGACTTTTATTGACAAACTTAGGTTTTCAAAGCACATTATGCAAGCTATGCTCAGCAGGGCAACGAGAGTAAGTGCTGTCAGATGGGGCCCCCTTAGGGAGGTTTCCGACTGCCTTTAAAAACTTTGCACATTTTGGTTCCCCTGTTTTGGTTTCAGTTTGTGAGCCTTCAGGGGTCCCTTACTAGTTATTATTGAAGTTAGATTATTCCAAAGACAGAAAAGTCCAATTCAGAAAAAATAAATACAGTCTCTCTGCAGCCTGAAGTTCATAAATTCATAAGAGCACAAATTGTGTCAAATGCGAAAGAAGCTAAATAAAACTTGCATATATCTTCATGTATATGTCCAAACTAATGACCACTGTTTCCCATCCACAGAGTGCCATTCTCAACGTCACCGCGACAGGAGGAAAGACTCGATCGAGTCCCGATCGCTCAGCTCTCGCGGGTAGTGACGGTGAGACCATTCAGTGTTTTTTTTTTATCTTTCCTTTCAGCCTCCGTTTGGATGAATGGAGAGCTGCAGAGTCTGCGGGGAGATAAGCAGTAGAATCAGACGGACGGCAGTAATGAGATAACTGCGCTGAGGGTAAAGTAAGAACACAAAGAAGCAGAAGAAGAATAGAAGAGAGAGCGTGGAGTCAGACTGTTTGATAGTCGGCACTTGAACTAAAGAGAGACGGCGTGGGCTGATGACATCACAGGTCGCTCTCTTCAACTCAACAGCTGCTGCTATTTTCAGGAATCAGCTGAGTGCTTCTTCTTCTTCTTCTGCGTCTACTCTTCAATCAAATCAATTTCCCCTTATCTCCTCTCATGTTCTCTTTCCTTCACATTTTCTTGACATTTATATTTCTTAAATTCTTCTATTTAAATTTCCTTACGTCCTTCCTTCACTTCATCAAGTGTTTCGTTTGGAGCTAACAACAGGCCTTGTGTAAAATGATTTATAGTCAGGGCTAAATCAGGGTTTCTCAACAGTAGGATCGGGACCGAAAAGTGGGCCGTGAAGTCATTTTCAGTGGGTCGCTGAGGTGTATCCGGGGAGAAAGAAAACTGTGTAAAGAAGTCGATGAAGTGCTTTTTAAACATGTTTGTTCTGTTTCTTTGCTCTGTCAAAAAATAAATCTGATTGGTTAAAAAAAATCCCAAAGCTGGGTCGCAGTTTTGCGTGACGTAGTTGGTGGTGGGTCCTTAGGCTGGACCGTCTGAGAATCACCTTTTCTTGTTCTTTTCTTTTTTTTTGCAGCTTCAGGTTTACAGAACCGGAGATATTCCTCTGTCGCCAGGATTCACTCCATGACCATCGAAGCTCCCATCACTAAGGTACAAAACCGCAGCAGTTTACACTTTTTGCACAAACAGTGAAAGAACGACAACTTAAACCAACAGCTAAGGCTTCTGTAATACAT